TTAATGCAGTGTAGTGTTTTGTTTTAGAAAGACTACACGGTATGCTCGATGCTATATTTTATGTCGTGGCATCATACTCTTAGCAGAGTATCATTTCATCAAAGTAAAGTTAAAAAACAAACACGTGGAGAATTTTGCTTCAGAACACTGGTGCAAGCTCAAAACAACAAGAATGTAAGTCAGCTTTACTGATGTTGCTCCATTTCACAAATCACGCATTTGTCTCGAGGAGCATTCTGCACAGCATATGGAGCCTCTATACTTCAACCCTTTGTTTGGACCGGGTGAATATCCTGGAGGCATTAATAGCTAGGCCAGAAAAACAGAGAGGTCCCAGAGTGGTGGGTCAGTCCGGTACAGCCCGAGTGCAAAGAGAGGACAGAAAATGGAGAAAATGCCACATGCAAAGCAATGGACAAAGAGGACTGTCAGTAGAAGATAAATAGAAAAAGATTTGTGTATTTTGTCCATGGTTTAAAGTTTTTTTGAGTGAAAATGTCAAAAACAAAGTATGTGGTATATATTTTTCACAATATCTAACAGGAAAGGTCAGACGATACAAATTTCATACCTTTCTTAATACTTTCTCTGCCATTTCCCAACAATCAGCAGCCATGGACTCCTCGTTGAAGCTGCTTAGCACTTTGAAAATTGAAATAATTGATGCCCACAAAGCTGGAGAAAGCTACAAAAAGAAAGAAAATTGTTTTGAAGTAGCAAGTTCCTGAGTTCATAATACAAGTAAGAAATGGTACTTAACAGGAACGGTGGAGGTCAAGTTGAGGTATCGGAGACAAAGAAAACTGTCTGAGAGAACTGCATGTAGGCTTTTATTTAGAAAGGTAAATCAAAAAAGCCTTAATTTATGAGACAGAATAGATTCAGTTAAATATCAGAAAAGTGCAGAAGAACCAGAACATCTGTCAAAAAAATAAGCATGGCTCCATAAACAATCCAAACAAAACCGTACAAGAGGAGCTTCCAAAAAGTTACGCCAGTGCACCAAGTCAAAAATAAAACAATCTGACCATACAGGGTGGCTAAACCTTTACTTCAGGCCCTGGGAAATATGAAAAATAAAAAGGTGTCATCGAGAATCGTCTCTGTGCACCACAAATAATCAAGAATTGATTAAAGGACAGATTTTCAGATTTAATTCAACGACTCAAATGTTTTAACTGTTTAGGAATTACACACATTTATACACAGTCCCGCAATTTCAGTGGGTCCAAATTAACTGGACAAATTAACTCTAAACATACGGTACATGTGTGCGATGTATATCGAAGGTGACTCGTGAAAAAACGCAAACCAATGATGAGATGAACATAATTCATGTGAAAAAGCCAAAGAATTGGAATTTATAATAAATAAATCAATATACGCGTGAAGTTGTTCATGCAAAGTTTCTTTGACATTGGCCTAACAGTTAGGAGGTAATAGGTGCCCTACTTAGTACACTAAGATTACGGTATCGTAAGTTAAGGATTGATTTTTAATGTTTGGATGGAAAACCTTTGGAGTCGATGACAGTCTGGAACTCGTTAACCTCACCAAATGCTGATGCTCGGTCAGGCCCTTACTCTAGCTGCCGTCAGCTTGTTTGTGGGCTTCACTGCCTTCAGTTTTGCCTTCAGTACAGGGAGTGCAGAATTATTAGGCAAATGAGTATTTTGTCCACATCA